TGCATAAAGTTACCTGTGGTCCCAGATAATTTTTAAGAGTGTAACAGAGTCCTGGGACCAAAATGATGTTCTATTTTAGAGAAAATAAGCATGCATGATACATATGTGTGTATTTATATATAATATTATATTGCATACACCTAAGTTGGAAAAGATAAAAATGAATTCTTTACATTGCTTTAAAATTTGTATTTGCAAATCAGACTTTTGATATCATATCATCTTTAAAAAGTCATTTTCAATATTTATTCATGATATGTGTAATTTGAAATTAGAATGTTCTACTATATAAAACAATAAAACCATAAAATATAAGATTTCATTTGTTTTGCTTTGTTTTTGTTTTTGAGACAGAGTCTTCTTGTAGCCTCAGCTAGTCTGGAACTCACTATGGAGACCAGGCTGGTCTTGATCTCACAGAGATCCACCTTCTTTTGCCTCCTGAATGCTGGGACTAAGGGCATGTGCCACCATGCCCAGTCTAAAATATAAGAATTTTAAAACGGTGAAAAGGTAAAATTTTAATAATTATTTTGTTAATGTTGAAATACCTTTTGCTCTCAAAAAATGTTAAACTTAGAAAATATGCTTCACTATTTTTCTTAAGGATCATTCTATCACTTTGTGATAGTTATTTTGATTTCTAAATTTATTCTTTTGTGCTCCTTGATATTAATAATTGTCAGAACAGAAATATATACCTCAAGAGAATAGAAAAAAATAGAAAGTACATTAAAAAAATCCTTTGCTATGCTCTATCCTTCATGATTAAATACATTTCATTTCTAGGTTTCAAATGTTTCACCAAAACATATTTATTGAGTTCTGCCTTCCACACATTAAGCAGTTGAAAAAATGTAAATGTAGATTGATATTCCTAACAAACAGGTTCCAAACTTCTGGAAACTCCTTGTTTGGGTAATATTTAAGAAGACTCAAAAACCTGGCTTCCGGCCAGATGCTGTAGCTCAGAGGTAGAGCATTTGCCTAGCGATGTGGGAGGCCCTGGGTTCAATCTCCAGGACCAGAAAAAATAAAATCTGGTTTCCAGGTTTAAGTTTGCAAGAAACATGGCTACTTCGCATCTGAATGAATAAATGAATGAATGAATGAATGAATGCTACCTGAGCTGAGCCAGCTCAGATGACAGGGACTGCTCACATGACAGTGACCCCACTGGTGATAATGAAAAATGGAGAGCACCAGCATCAGTTTGCGTGGCAATCATTCGTGGTGTATAACATATCATGCTTTTTAGGATCAAAAGATGAACTGAAAGGTGCTTTCTTCTTACACCACCTGGTGCATGCACCCTGCTTGGGGCATGTTAGTGAGGCCACCAGGCAGTCTGAGCTTAAGGAAAAGCATGACCAGTTAAAGGTACAGTGAGAGAGGTCTACCAACAGGAAGCAGGAAGCAAGAAGCCAAAAATTGGCTCAGGACCAGGCAGGCACCCAGGACAGAGGACAGGGATGTATCTGAGAGACATCTGGAGATCCATTGCAGATGTGTTTGGATGTGGGAGTGGGGGGAAATGTAGAGGTGACTAGGAAGATGACAATGCTCTGCCAAAGCACATGAAGAAGAGGACAGCAAACATGAGTTCTATTTGGACAGCGGTATGTATGTCACCCCTGTGGGATAGAAAGGTGGCATCTGGCAGCAGCAGGAGTGAATTTCTGGACAACTAAAGCAGACATTTCTTTCAACCCAAGCTTTAGTTTCCAACTTTAGGCTGTTGCCTTTTGGGAAAGGCATCGGTTTCTTCACAACTCTAAAGAAAGCCATGGATCCCCATTTTGTAATAAAAACGAACATACGTACCACAACATGAAATGGTGAACTACAACCCCTGGAGGCTCACCCACTCCAGAAAGGAGCTAGCTCCTCAGTGCCCTCTATACCCACTCTGTTCCCCTGTCTGGATGTGATTCTTCTGAGTCAGAAGTAATTGGCTGATTAGATCATTTCCTGTTTTAGAAATCCTCATGATTTATGGTCAAATGCTTCTGTTCATCATGATGACTGAAGAATTGTGTATTATCATGCTGGGTAAGAAATAGGAGGAGGAATGATAGAAAAGAGAGAAAGACCCTTTCTCTGGGCAAATATTCAAACAACACAGGGTAGGGTGCAACAGGGCACAGCCATCACCTAGAAAGAAATAGCAAGTGTAGAGGAGCAAGCTCAACAATGCCACAGGGAAACAAAGAGCCAAATCCAGAACGTGAGGCAGCCTACAGAACAGTTGTCTCAGGCTGGGCCTGGTGGTGCACAGGTGTAATCGTAGCTCTTCAGGTCCAGCCTATTACATCTTGAGCACCAAGCTAGCCAGGGCTACAAAGCAAGACCTTGTCTCAAAAAACGAAACAAAATCAAAACTCCAAGCATCTCAGTCACTCTAACAAATTGATAGCATAAAAGAGCCTTGTGAAAAATAGTCAAAAGCAAGAAGACTAATAATCCTGCACTTGGGAGGCAGAAGCAGGTAGATCTCTGT